TGGAGGGTGGGAGTGGAGAGGTAGGGAGAAGGACTCCTTTCTTCCTTCTATTCATAAGTGACAAAACTAACCGTCGCGACCGTCGAAATGATCCCTAGCCTCACAGCTGCTACACCTGTCTATCTGTTAATCAAATACTGAACATTAAGGAGTAAGACGGGGCAAACAAAAATAAAGCAGTAAACAAGAGGACAGATACACCTGACAGACAAAGAAAGATGATCGCTAAGGTTTGTTGTTCGTCTACAGTATTAGCGGTTGGTGAGGAGATGCAGCCAAAGAGCCTCATTCGGTAAACATATCCACATTATGCTCCTGAAACACACACACACACACTGTAGGGCAGGTGTTATCGACGACTGGTCACATGGGCCCCTGTCCTATAGACCCCAACTTAATATAACCATTAAGAACTGGGGCTTTCTCATAGTAACGCCCACCCGGCCTAAGGGACTCGGATCTGAATGGTTTACGTCATGTTGGGGTTTATTAGGACTGGGACCCACAACCTACACGAAACCAGGATCCTCACACGCACCAACAATCACTGTACAGTATATAATCTACGATCTTCTGTCCCTGAATATTACTGAATGATATTACCAATCTCGCTTGATGTCGGTGTTTACAGACATCAATATGCACTCCATCAATTTCTGCACATAAATATTTACTGCCATGTCTGCTGTGACTCATTACTCCTGCAAGTCTTATCACAGTGAACAAGAGCATGGAATATATATATGTGTGTGTGTGTGTGTGTGTGTGTGCAGAATATGATGGAATGCTTGCATTAAATTCTTCAAGGGACCGTAAACACAAATACTAAGGCACCCTGTAAACACATTGTACTGTATATACATTACAATTGTAATGTTATTTTCATATTTAAAGAAAAATTCCTTCATGAATAACATGTAGCTCTTGTGTATTAGGAGAATACTGTGTAGATGTATATAATATTAGCCAAGATCAATCTTTCAATTTGTATCAAATTATCAGAAAATTTCTCAATAGTCGCCTTATTTATATGTGTATTTTATTATTTTCTTTAACAACATGATTCTGCTGTTTTATCTCTCAAAACCACCAGTTACTGTTAAAGGAAGAGAAATTCATTACCGTTATAAATAATTTTTTAACGGTATTTAACATTATTATCTCTTATTACTGTTACTGTCTGAAATACTATTTTCATTATTATTATTATTATTGGTGCTGTTATTAGCGACATAACGCTTTGCTTTATAACTGTCATGTGTACTGTATCAAGGTTTAGACCTTGATATGTATCGTGCTGCTCGCCACCTCAACAGTACGAATACACATCGACATTCCTGTCTCATGCTACGACCCTTCAAACATAATCCTTCTGTGCCCTTGTTTAAAGAAAAAAAAATACTTGTAACATTCATGAGTTCCACGGAGAAAATGCTGTTAGGTTACCCATGTAATTTTCAAGTCTGGCGAGCCTCTCTGCTCTACTATTAGCGACATCGTTCAATTCTCCCGGACCCTGAGGAGTCTCACGTTTCCCAGTGATTTTACGCTCTGCTCCCACCAGTATGCACACAGAAACTACAATGTTTGTTTCAACAATATATTTTACGCGACCCAGTTCTTGTCACCCTCACATAATTATACTCCAACAAAAAATTTAAATCTATTGAGATAATAAACACATAGAAGTGATACACTTCTGCACGAGACCCCTAAAGAAAACCTTTCCAGCAGCAACAAGAACTGAGTAGCCCAATAGTGGTAATCAGAGTACATTTCTACCATGATTAAATACTACGGGTTGACAGCGAAAAGCACCACTGTGTCAACCAAGCTAATTCCGCCTATGATTCGTGTTATTACTGTAATGCAGTGACTTTACACTGTTGTGTCTAGGGAGGCGAGGTGTATTAAGAGACTAATTTCTCAATAAGTTTAATACAATACTCGAATTTGATTCTTGGTAGCGTGTACAGGATGTAGTATCACGACCATTGACATAATTTACAACAGAACTATTACCCAATGTGACAGTGAGGCGGCCTTGTCCCCCCCCCAGCCCATTTTTGAAGACCTCACAGCCTCAGGAAACTACATTCTAGTGTTTCCATTAAACCTTGACCATATATCCCCAGACATCGCAGGTATCGATATTTACCACGTGTATCCTTACTGGTAAAAGGGATTTACATAGCTACAATCTTTCTTCTGCTCTCCACAACTCAACCACGTCCGACCCATCTCCGTTATCAAGCGTCTGTGACTCACTCACAGCCTCACAAAAACTCCATCACAACTTCAACAACTTCTTCACCTACTAACAAATTCCAAGCTCTCTGGCAATCTAAATTTACTCACTGCTCCGGCGGGCAGTGACCTAAGTTGCCCAAATGACGTCACTGGGGAAGGGTGGCTTCAAATGGACCAGAACGTGAATCAGTGATGCAACGTCTAGAAACATCTTTACATTAACAAGGTGATAGTGCGTAAAAAATTGCTACGTGTTTATACATGTGGGTGAGAGAGGAGTGTTTACGTGAGCGTCAAGACCAATTAACTAACGGTCAAATGACCCGGACAAACAAACATTACACAGCTCGGGTGCGAGTGCTCAACTTGAGCTACCTCCTTCATTCACCCAGGGAGAACAAAACACGTGTTTCACAGAGGACCACCATTTGCCTGTGGTAATTATAATGGTAATAACACACCATCTAACATCATGGCTGCCATAAAATGTAGGCGAAACAGCACAAGTGGAGGATACAAACGACCACCAACTTACAAAACATACACACCATCATTATACTTTTTATATAAAATTCATAATGACAATAACTCTACTGGCGCTCTAGACATGTATTTAATAAAGTGATATATTCATGCTTATATCTGGAACCTATAAAAACAAGTCGATAAAGAGCCCAAAAGGGGATCCACAAACCAGTCTTGTTCGTGAGGTAGGAGGGCGGTGCATTGGAGCAGAGGAATCCAGCTTGAGTGTGGGAGTCTACCGCATCCAACACCACACAGTACCATACCACAAGCATCATACCACCACCACCATCGCACAAGAATGCCATACCATAACGTACCACTCCATATTATAACACAAAAAAACACACACAAATATCATACCATAAAACTACAGTAACATACCAGTTCATACCACAACACACACAACAATACCATACCACCACAACAAACTACAGCAAGACACTACCAAATCTCGTCACAATATACCACAACAGACCACATCATATCAGGACATATACACCACAACACCATCATACGTATCATATACAATACATCACACAACCATACCATGTCATACCACGAAGTCCACAACACACCGCACCGCCCTATCATGCATCACACCACCAACATGTGACACAATACACCACCACACCTCATCACCATAACACTACTATACCAAAACAAATCAAGCCTTACCGCAACGCAGTACGTGAAAAAAAAAACAATGAACCTTTCTTCTTAAAACATATCTATTCCTTGCAGACGTGATGGCAGGCACCGCGATGTACTAAAGACACGGCGAACAATGCCAAAAGGGGAGTCAATACAGGAGCAGGTGGCTTGCCCAGGTGTGGTGAATGTGAGCGCAAACAAATAAACTCTCCCGTCATCAGTTGCACAACGTTACCCGAGGCTGAGGACATACCAGCTCAGACCGTCTCAGAATAATACATTATATATTTCAAGAGATGTCGACTGTGAGGACGCAAAAGAAACCAGACGAAGGACGAGTCCCCACACCCAGCCCGCGGCAACACAACGTAGAAGGCCAACCACACAGGCCTAGCCATGGTCAAAATACACCTTGCCAGGAAGGCTTCACAGAGGCCACACTTGCTTTGTTGCGAATTCGTTTGACACCTACCACCGCACCACAGTAAAGCTCCACACAACCTTATGTCGCCACCATACGCACCCACAATTCTTCATATTTATTTTTTATCTTTATGTGCATTAATTTTGTTTTTAGTCAATTTCTGACATTACCTATTTTGGGGTGTTTATTTTAAATAAATCTTATTTAGCCTGTTTACGTTGCCTTTCAATTCACAGACATGTTCTGGTCCACCACTGGCTAGGTCTAGGTTCACGATATCGAGACCTTGAAATTCTTTTTATATAAAAACATATTGATTTAATATGCAACATTTTTTTATTGCAAGTCAACTAACCTTTCTTCAGCCAGATCAGCGGGCCACACCTCATCTACAAGTGTCCACAATAGGGTCTACACACAAACCCCCCCTCACTGTTTACTTCTCACAGCTGATCAATGACCAAGGTTCAGAATGTTGCACAAGTGTACACTCAACACACCATAACCGACTACCTCGCTTACAACATAGCGGCTGACTCCGTTACACCAAATTGCGATGACTGTTACTCAAGTAGAGAGTTTTACCTAGACTCCTTGAGGAGATGATCAACACAAGTCGCCAATTTTCGGCATTTGCGACAATTCAGGCTGGAGGTTTCCCCACTAAACTCAAAATTGTTGGTCGTTGTCCAATGGCGCGTCGGCGTCTTGCCTCTCACATGATATATAACAGTAAACTATGCATAGCGAATTTTCCAGTCAGGTACAGTTGAGTTTACGCAATAATTTGGTTAATTTTCGTAGGAATTATATTTTACATCTGGTGTTAAGTTGCCATAAGTTAATGACCTCAAAAGGTGGAGGTGTTTATCAATTGTACCCAGGCGATAAGACATCACATTGTGAATACTAACATACCTGTATATTCTAAGTTACTATACTCAAGGGGCAAACCCTGTAGACGAGTTATTTGTTAATATATTGTTATATCTTATTAATACTTGACAGTATAAATGAATGTGTCAAGCCATCGTATTCAATGGGTGGGGAATGGTACAGCAATACTCAAAAGGGTCAAGAGGTTGTCCTGATAGTAAGCGTATCCAAGAGGACACTAATGAAAGTCAACACACAAAAGTGTACTTACATCACTAACACATGCAGCTGGTGGAAGCGTGGCTCCCTGAGGTTCCTGGTGATACGTGCAGGATTATGTCCTCTGCCAGGAGTGATGGTAATCGGCTACTGCACCTTCCCGGAGACGTAAAGATCCACTGTCAGCACGTGCGCCCGCGCCCACCAACTGGTGATGATGCCTCACACTAGCGGCGCCAGGATCAACACTTGCCACAATCACACGTCAAGTGTCACGGATGACTACTTTTCAGTCACTGACACAAAATATTGCCGTTGGTAACACAACAGATTGGCTTTCTATTTGGTCACTATTCGAAGAGTGGAATCTCATAAAATTGTACGAGTATTTGTATTCAAATACTTTTGCTGCTATCACAAAAGACGGAGTTCGTCGCTGATTACAATCACTATATGTGATGGGAAAAGACAGATGTGCTGGTCACTAACAGATGACTGGTGCCATGGTATCATTAAAACCTAAAGCTGAGAACGCAGTGATGACTTATCCTGTGGGAGGCAACAATTGAGAATCTTGTACAAGTCGCAACAATTTAACAACAGTAAAGCACAGCACAGTGTAAACACTGAAGTAACCATCGGTTCTATGGTGATGTGTGGTTAATGTCAGCATATGCGTGCCACTCGGCCACCACTACACGATAAACCCAAATCTCCACGGCCAACCTGAGTGGCTTAGGTTGTGACGACGACTTGCCTCCCCCCACACATACATCAACCACTGGTAAGCTCCCAGCTCTTAAATAACGGTGACAGCGTCTGCTATCGTCTATCTTCGCACCACCGTCCACGTGAAGAACTACATATGATAATGACCAGTACAGTATTAAACTCCACCACTACACTCGTTCACAACAACATGTGGTTCTATCAAGAGGACCGCACTGTAATAGCAATTACCAGGTCCATGTAAATCACCCATTGAAATGTCTGAACGGCTTCTCTCTCTATGCCGATTGGAACAAAGTATGGGAAGGGATACACGGATTATTCAATTGAAATATCTAGCACATGTTCTCTAGTCAATGCATAATCGCTGCAAAAAATGTGAGTGAAATGTTAAGTAACTCCGTAACGCCTGTGACTTGTGTAAAATATATACTGTGATTGCTTTTTAAAAAATCCTTGACTATTCCTTCAATCCTTTTGTGTGCTGCTTGTTATACTGTGCACTCTCAACTGTATAAATCCTTAGAGGGTCTATATGATGTTTGTTTATTTTTTACTAGTCTATATGTACTGAAAATCATTATTTCCTCTTATCTGTCCTTCTCAACTACTGTAAGCGCTGAGAAACGCTGCCATGGTAAAAGATGAAAAGATGAGAACAATGTGTAAACGGTGACTACAGGTGCGGAGGTGGCAGCGTTTAAAGGCATCTCATGACTCATCGAAGATAAGCGTGAGAGGGTAAAGGAGAAAGTAAAAAGAGAGAGAGAGAGAGAGAGAAGAAAAGGAACTCAAAGAAAATTAAGAAGCAAATGAAAAGAGACATAAGGAGGGAAAGACGCAAATGAGAAAGATTACGAAACTAAGTAAAGCTGGTGGAAGACGGTATAGAGAATTATGAAAAACAGTGTAATATTGCGAAAGATTGAATTAATTAGAAAGGAGTTTTAAATGACGGTGGAAAGAAGGTAAGAAATGCGAATGAATATGGTACAGGAAAGATGGATAAAGGGCTGAAAATGCTGACAATAACATTGACAAATGCCTAAAACAGATGGTCGATGAAACGAAAAAATAAATCAAAGTAAAAGGAAACCCAAGAGAGAAGAAATGGGCAATAATGGAAGAACGGAAGAACATCATAATAGGGAGTGGAGGCTATGATGGCGGTTGAGGCAGTAGAGAACAAGTCCTAAAGCAATGACGCAGTAAGACCCACCTTGGCTCTCTCCTATGAGTCAAGTGCTTGAGGGAACACGCCCCCTCCTACACAACCAGCCTTGGAAGAATGTACACCCTGAGCCCACAAGGTTATCTTTCGTGAATAGTAAGAGCGCTTCTCACTGAAGGCCTTTCTCACTAACAACAATGGAAACTAGTAAATATTGAATGTTGCATTTATATCTGAAATTTTTATAACCTTTATGGCCGGAAGCAGTGTTGGCGAAGCTAATTATTTTTTTTTTCCTGCTGCAAGTGATGCCTAAAGTTTCGAATGATGGAACACTACGACCTACCGACCAGAATTAACCTGGAGAAACTCTTCCTTCAAACAAATTCCTTTCCTCAAACGCTGTCGGAAATGCAACAATTCTAATAAGGCCATTTGTCAAATGTAATTTTTAAGAAACAAATGGTGCTATGATACAGCATAATCTCGGATCCCCGTGCTTTCCAACCATGTGCTACACACAGTATTGACGTTGTTCGTTAACTTTTATAGTATACTAATAAATGTGTCCGATATAAATGCAACACCCTTTATTATAGGAACCACGAGTAAGTTCAAATAAAGAACTGATTAATAAAGAATAATTTCGTTAAGTAACAAATATGTAACTAGTGTAGGTAAACTTACAAAGCACCTATAACTTAACTAAAACACTAGTACAATTATAGAAGACCAATGACACACAAAGTGTGAAACAAGTAAACATATATATCTACATGTAAAAATAATGCCTATCAAAGAAACTTATCTAGATACTGAACCATCAATAGTATTTTACCACGCTGTCTGCTGAAAACAAGACGTGTTTTCTAAATAATGCAAATTCAGTCTCGTTCTGAACAATGGTTTTGAAAACAAGTGAACAGCTCTAGCAGTAATACATTACCGAATAAACGAATTTTAGATTACAGCGAAACTAAGTAGCTTGACAGACTTAGTAATGGAGAATTAACAACGAATATAACTTCCGTGCTGGCTCCTTTAGAATAATAAATGACACTAATTTACTTCATTTTAACGTGGATAAAAAAATCATGAAACTAGTCTACTCCTATAATTATTAACAGAGACCACTGAGACACCACCTCAGATTTAATCCTAGGTAAGACACCTATTTAATTGGCCTCATAAGAAGTCAAGTAATGTTTATACATCACAATTTTTTTTTTGTAAGAAGTTGGTTTACTGGAAAAAAAGGCAATATTTTAAAACTATCAAAGGATAATGAGTAAATGTCAGTGAACAGCTGGAATGCATGAGAATACAGAGAAACTTGAAAGAAAAGGGGTAGGACAATAATGAGAAAGCGAGAACAACACTTCAGTTGCTAAGAGTTCACTGGGATCACAACTAACAGGCGCGTTGAAGTCACTATTGCAAATATTGCTGACTGCTGTGTCTACCTTTCCTAATATCAACCATCTGTAATACACAACACAAAGTTCATGGTTTATCATTCCTGAGCTAAATGTGGCGTTCCCTTTGATTCCTCACACCTTGGAATTCCAACAACATTCCAAACCTGCGCAAAACTCTTTTAGTACATCATTATTCTTGTTCTTGAATTGCAAAAACAATGGCAGTTGCTGTTTTAGCCTTCATCACATACGCGATCACATTAGTGGCAGGACAGTGGCACCTCTAAGTTGCAACATTGGTACCCTGGTCACTCCTTACATTCCCAGCATCCATATATAGAGACCAGAGGTCTTTCACCGCCTTCAAAATGGATGATATGTCAAATAATGAAAAACAAATAGCAGTCATATGGGTTACGAGCTCGTGAACTTTGAAAGAAGACTGTGAATGGTTTAGCAGCGAAGGCACCAGGGTGGAGCGTAAGATTACACACCAACCAACACAAGAGCCAGGGAGATACTGAGTTTGACAAACGCACCAGGTACAGACCCAGAGGTCGCCAAGAACGAGTTACCAACTCGCCACATATTTCTTAAAAAAAAATGCAATCAACCCCAGATAGTGACTCTGAATCAAGTTATTAGTGGGGATATGCACACAAAGAAGAACGAATATTAAAAAAAAATGAAAACAAATCAGTCCTAGAAAATATTAATTGAAAATTTGAAACCGGCAACTGCTTTAGAGAACCAGCCTTCACAATACTCAACCTGACAGTCGGATGCGATTTTCGTCTTTATGCTGGAGTGTACTGGGCACAAATCAACAAATAAATACCAGTCACACATTCCACAATGAACACAACTCAAATTTTTATTTAAAACGCCGAAGTAATGAAATTTACAACTTTCACAGATACATCCCTGGGCCCAAAAGCTGCCTGGAGATTCATGAGCCACAAAGAGCTTCATTATGATTATCTGCTAGGGAGAGTGGACGCTCGCAACACCACAAACCGGATACACCTCCTCTCACTCCACATTCTGTACCAGTCAAATAAGTCCACTTTTTCTATTACATCCACCCCGTAGCCATGCCACTGACCCTACCTCACATCAATCTACAAGCTACTGACTCCATCACAACCTCACACCAACCACTGACCCTCTCATGTCATAATACACAAACCAATGAACATCCTTCATATAAAATACCAAAAGCCACTGAACCTCCCTCAAACATAATACAAGCCACTGAACCTCCCTCAAACATAATACAAGCCACTGAACCTCCCTCAAACATAATACAAGCCACTGAACCTCCCTCAAACATAATACAAGCCACTGAACCTCCCTCAAACATAATACAGCAAGCCACTGAACCTCCCTCAAACATAATACAAGCCACTGAACCTCCCTCATACATAATACAAGGCCACTGAACTGCTCCCTCAAACCTGAACACTCCCCTCCAAAATAATAAGCCACTGAACTCCCTCCAAACATAATACAAGCCACTGAACTCCTCAAACATAATACAAGCCACTGAACCTCCCTCAAACATAATACAAGCCATGAACCTCCCTCCAAACATAATACAAACCACTGAACTCTCCTCAAACATAATACAAGCCACTGAACCTCCTCAGGCTTATAATACAAACCACTAGACGTCCCTCAAACATAATACAAGCCACTGAACCTCCTCAAACAGCCACAATACCACTGAACCTCCCTCAAACATAATACAAGCCACTGAACCTCCTCAAACATAATACAAGCCACTGAACCTCCCTCCAAACATAATACAAACCACTGAACCTCCCTCAAACATAATACAAACCACTGAACCTCCCTCAAACATAATACAACACTGAACCTCCTCAAACATAATACAATGCCACTGAACCTCCCTCAAACATAATGCAAACCACTGAACATAATACAAGCCATCCATAATACAAGCCACTGAACCTCCTCAAAACATAATACAAGCCACTGAACTCCCCTCAAACATAATACTGAAGCCAATGAACTCCTCATACATAATACAAGCCAATGAAGCCAATGAACTCCCTCATACATAATACAAGCCACTAGGCCTCCCTCAAACATAATACAAGCCACTGAACCTCTCTCTCCTTACATATTACAAGTCATTGAACCTCCCTCAAACACATAATACAAGCCACTGAACCTCCCTCCAAACATAATACAAGCCAATGAACCTCCCTCAAACATAATACAAGCCAATAGACCTCCTCATACATAACATGTGCCACTGAACCTCCTCAAACATAATACAAGCCACTGAACTCCCTCAAACATAATACAAGCCACTGAACCTCCCTCAGAAACATAATACAAACCACTAGACCTCCCCTCAAACATAATACAAACCCAATGAACCTCCCTCAAACATAATACAAGCCATGAACCTCCCCTCATACATAATACAAGCTAATGAACCTCCTCAAACATAATACAAGCCAATGAACCTCCCTCATTTATAATACATAATACCACTGAACCTCCTCAAACATACTACTCCACTTGAACTCCTCAAACATAATACAACAAGCCACTGAACCTCCTCAAACATAATACAACAAGCCACTGAACCTCCCTACAAGCCAATGAACTCTCATACATAATATGCTAAACAATGAACTTCCCCACATAATACAAGCCACTGAACCTCAAAACATAATACAATGTTTCAATACAACAAGCCACTGAACCTCTCAAACATAATACAAGCCTGAACCTCTCCTCCTCAAACATAATATGGCCAAACATAATACAAGCCACTGAACTCTCCTCAAACATAATACAAGCCACTGAACCTCCCTCAAACAAAAATACAAGCATTACTGAACCCTCCCTCACTTTAACAATACAACAAGCCACTGAACCTCCTCCCTCAAACATAATACAACTGAACCTCCCTCAAACATAATACAAGCACTGAACCTCCCTCAAACATAATACAACAAGCCACTGAACCTCCCTCAAACATAATACAACAAGCCACTGAACCTCCTCAAACAAAAAATACAAACTGAACCTCCCTCAAACATAATAATACAAGCCACTGAACCTCCTCAAACATAATATAGACCCACTTTGAACCTCCTCAAACAAAATACAACCACTGAACCCTCCTCATACATAATACAAGCCACTGAACCTCCTCAACATAATACAACAAGCCACTGAATACAACAAGCCAACCTACAAGCCACTGAACCTCCCTCATACAAATACAGTTTTTACTGAACCTCCTCATACATAATCATACCAATACAAACCACTGAACCTCCTCAAACATAATACAACAAGCCACTGAACTGAACCTCCCTCATACAAAATACAAGCCACTGAACCTCCATACCTCATACATAATACAAGCCACTGAACCTCCTCAAACAAAATACAAGCCACCTCATACATAATACATAATACGTTTTCACTGCCACTACTGAACCTCCCCTCAAACATAATACAACAAGCCACTGAACCTCCTCATACAAATAAACCAAGCCTCCTCTCATACATAATACAAGCCAGTGAACTGAGCTTATCAAACAAAATACAAGCCACTGAGCCCTCTCATACATAATACAAGCCAGTGAACCTCCTCATACATAATACAAGCCACTGAACCTCTCAAACATAATACAACAAGCCATACCTCCCTCATACAAAATACAAGCCAAGTCAATGAACCTCCTCATACATACATAATAATACAAGCCACTGAACCTCCTCATACATAATACAAGCCAATGAACCTCCCTCATACATAATACAAGCCAATGAACCTCCTCATACATAATACAACAAGCCACTGAACCTCCCTCATACATAATACAAGCCACTGAACCACCCTCATATATAATACAAGCCAATGAACCTCCCTCATACATAATACAACAAGCCACTGAACCTCCCTCATACATAATACAAGCCACTGAACCTCCCTCATATATAATACAAGCCAATGAACCTCCCTCATATATAATACAAGCCAATGAACCTCCCTCATACATAATACAACAAGCCAATGAACCTCCCTCATACATAATACAACAAGCCACTGAACCTCCCTCATACATAATACAACAAACCATTGAACCTCCCGCACATGTAATACAATACAGTAGTCTCTCGGTTAACGAACACAATTCGTTCCAGAAGGTTGTTCGTTAACCGAAAATTTCGTTAACCAAAA